TATATAGAAATATCATGAAGAAAACGAATAAATTTTTTACTAGCGGAAAATCGAACATTTTATTTTATTTTATTTTATTTTAAAGGATTTTATTTTCACGCCTTATATTCGTAATATATTGACGTAATATACTGTCTAATACCAAATGTTTGAAAAAAGGACAGTTCTGGTGATATAATACATTTGATATTTCGGGTCGATCGTCAGCCAAAACCCGTGGTTACTGTATAAATGCTTTGATCAACCAATCACCACATACGTACTGTAATCATGACATAATTTTGTTCACGTCATTTTCACTCTTTTTGTGAGTTTATGTTTTGTAGATGAGTTTCGTACGTTTCGTACGTGAAGCTAACGAAACATAAGCTAATAGGTGAACCCGAAAAGATATACACTGTACATGTTTCATATGTTTCGTACGTGGAGCCAACCGAAGTATAAACAAAGGAACTTATTAGGTGAAGCTAAAAAGATATGCGCTGTACGTGTTTCGTACGTTTCGTACGTGAAGCTAACCGAAACATAAGCTAATAGGTGAACCCGAAAAGATATACACTGTACATGTTTCATATGTTTCGTACGTGAAGCCAACCGAAGTATAAAGCAAAGGGACTTATTAGGTGAAGCTAAAAAGACTTTATGTTACGAGTTTATATTTGGAACTAACTAAATGTATGTTACAGTACGTGTTTTGTAGGCGGTGAAGCCAAAAAAATACAGGCAATATGTTTGTAGTGTGGGGGTGTAACGGCGAGTCAGTCGCTAAAGAGGACAAGATTTCGCGTAACCGCGAAAAGTGTGAATAATTATTAAGGTCAAGGAGGCATTTTTGATATGGTCAAGTATTTTATTTTATAACTGATATTGTTCTCCTTTATTAATGCTTATCTCTTTCTTTTTATACATTTCCTTTTATTTACAGAGACTAATGCGGCCATACTTTAGGAACAATAGGTACTTCTTTTCCTCACATTAGATAATCGTGCACCACCAACCAAGAACAGGTTCCTCGCGGTACCCTTCGCGACGATAAGTCACGTGATGCGCGTCGCGTCTCCAAACACTTATGCGTTCCACGCATTAAGATTTTCATTAAGCGTTCCATTAAGCATATCCATCGTAGTATTTCGTTAGCAATTGATGAGTCGCTAGGTCATCGGTCGTCGTGCTTGTTTCCGCAATCCGTTGAGCAGGTGATATCAGTTGCATACATGGTAAACTATTGGTATGGCGTAGTTCCTGTTGTCACCGGCATGTCATTTCTGCTTACTTCACTCCAATATTCTTGTCGGGTCTTCCAATTGACTAGGTTAAGGCGGATCTTGACGTGGCAGATGACGTCGGCTTATGCGCACATATTGATATAGGCGTGATCTTCCACAGGTACGTTGCCTCGGTTTTGTGACCCTTTTTTCGCGCCTTCCATTTCTGCCATTTCCAAGTTCGGATATCTCCTAGACCTGTTCTTTTCTTTGCAGGTGTCATTCATACGAGTGCTCTTTTGACGTCCCATATTTTCTCCTCAGGATTATTCATCTGATTGGATCGCGGTAGGTCTTGATGCGAGTTGTGATAAGCTGTTGATGACGTCGCTTCTTCTTCCTTTTTCGTC